TCCTCAACCAACAACAGCAATACTCATTTTTCAGTCCATAACTGTACCAAACATGCACCTTTCAGTTCAGAGGTGCTCCCAAAATCAGCTGTTCTATACTTGGAATGGTCCATATACATCCCTAGTTAAAAGAAGCAGAGAAAATGCAGAACAATTGTAAAAACCTCTTTAGGGAGTGGGTTGGGGCGGCTAAAAAAGGACTCTCTCTTCAAAATAACAGTGATTCAATGATTTTGGGATGCATCTGAAGTGAGAGAAGGCTAGAAGAATTGTTTTAGAGACTTGTATGATATCTTGAAGTAAACTGAAATGCATAATACAAAAGTCTAAAGAGTCTGAAGAAAAGAAAGTCATAAATGCTGTGAGAATGTTGAAAAGCAGTAAGTTTACAGATATACATGGTGTAATTGGAGACATGTTAAAATATGGATGTGGTTTGCTTACACAGTAGCTCTGTTTCTTATTTAATATGTCTGTGAAACTGCATCTATACTTGTAGTTTGGAAGAATGCCATTAGTGTCCCCCTATACAAAAGGAAATTTAGAGTGAGTGCAAAAAGATAAAATAATTAGTTTGTAAAGTGTGTCTGTAAAGGTGTCTGGCGGAATTTTGATTGAAAGAGTACCAAAAAATACAATGAACAAAATTTAGGAAGTAAACTGTGTCTTCTGTCAGGCACAGTGCATGTTCTTTGTTCCAGATCTTTGTTCTCCAGAACTTTGAAAAATGTATGAATGTGAGAAAGCTTATTGCATGCTTGAAGATTTAGAGAAAGTATATAACTACATAGGTATGAATAATGGAATGCCTATAATTGTTGATGAGTGCAATATGAAGGGTATATGATGAAAGCTGTGGGAAGGAGGGCTTTTTCTCAGCTTCAGTTGCTATGCCGTTCATTATTTTTCTGGAACAAAGTGCTGGAAACAGTGACTTGTGCTCTTGTCATGTCATGGATTAACTACTATAATATGCTCTAGATGGGTCTTTCCTCAAGAACCTTCCAGAAACTGCACCTCTAGTGAAGAATGTAGCTATCCATGTGCTAACAAGGCCTACCTGGTATTGCCACATAACTCTAATATTGTGGTAATTGCATTGGCTGCCAGTTGTTTTCTGCGTGCATATCAAGGTGTTATATGGCTTGGAGGGAGTTATTTGCAAGACTGCTTACTCCAGATAAAATCTGCCCAACCAAGCCATGTCTGCAGAAAGTGCCTGCTGAAAGTCTTGGAAGTAATGGGTGGGGCCATTTTGAGTAGGATCATGTACTTGCTGGGTAATGAAAAGTGAGCATTTTCTCAGGAGCAGCCTTCCTATGGAATACTATCCTACAAGATATAAGATGGATATCCTCACTCCTAACATCTAGGAACCTTCTAAAAACCTAATTATTCCAGAGAGTATTAGGGATGGTAGAGTAAGGTGTCCCACCATTGATAAAATATAACATTATTGGTGTGAGTATGGAACGTGAATATGGATAGGATATTGGACTGTTATGATTTTGCTTCATTTATTTTGTTTTAAATGTGGTATATTGTTGAAGATGTGGTTTTACTGGTTTAGTTTTAAGCTATATATTTTGTTTGAAGATATTGCTTATACCATTTAGAGTCATGCAGCTGACTCTAAACAGTCACTATTTTCTATAATGTTGTTTACCTCAAATGGGATTAACATGATGGGCAGGTATACATGTACATCTGAATGCGAAAGCTGAAACAACCATGGTCAAATTTCAATGAATCAGGACTGATTTGGAAGAAAATTTTGTATCCAAGGTCCCAATGTTAGTAATGAAGTTGAAGCTGAAAAGTGATTGGATATTTCAGCAAGACAGTGATCTGAAACATTCCTTAAGTTCAACCAGAAAATGAAGATAAATGTTTTGTAATGGCCTTCATAGTCCACAGACTTGAATATTATTGAAAACCCCATCTCAGACATGCAATGTATGCAAAGAGACCTAAGAATATTTCTGAACTAGAAGAATTCTGAAAGGAAGAGTGGGAAAAAAATTCCAAAAGCAAGACTAGAAACACTGAAATAACTAAATAGATAGAATGAAAGCTAACTGTAGGAAATGTTTCGGAGCTATTATTTCTGCCAAAAGAAATGTCACAAGATACTGACTGGGAGAGTGTCCAAACTTTTCTACCTGCCAAATTCACTGTTTTTTTTTTTTAATTTTATTTTGAATTTATAAACAACTTGACATAAATAGCATGCATTCAAAATTGCAGAGAATTGTTTAACTTTCTACCATATAAAGGGTGTGGCAGCTTCTGGTCACTTAAGGAGTCATGGAAATATACAGTTCGACGAGGAATACTAATTTTGCATACAACTCTATGTAGAAATGCTGCCTTAATGGTTGTTGAAGGAAAGAATAGAAAGCAGATGAAAAGAGGGAATAAGATGTAATGTCCAGAACTGGAGGGCTCCATATTCCAGCATTTTATGGCATGTTTTCTTTGGACCTTTGTGGAAAAATGGTAAAGAATTAAAGGAGGGCAGGGTGGGTGAGAGATAGAATTGAACCCAATGTCAGTTAGTGGTTAATATGTTGGAATAGCATCAGGAAAATCCAGTTTCAACTCCAGCTTCAGCCATGAACATTCGCCTGAGGGACTTTGTGGTGAGAAATGAGTGACCCAGCCTACCTCACCTAATTGTTGTGTGGAGAAATGACGTAGTTGCAATATGTATGCCACATTTGGCTCTTAGAGGAAAGGTGGGACATAAATGTATTGAATGCATAAATAATCCTGAACAGAACCATTATTTTTTGCAACATTTTTATTAAAATGTCACTTATATGGACTAGAATGGGATTTATACTGTATGATACACTTGGGCTTCTTTCGGTGAAGTTTTTTCTGCTTCAGAAACGACACAGTTCTCATCAAGGCAAAGAGGTGATACTGGTTGTTTTCATCCCACAGCCTTGACCTGGCATTTCCAATAGCCAGAAGAGTTTTCTGTCTTTTAGAAGCAGATCTGTTGGAAAAGGGTTGCCTGGGTTTTGTGGATTTGCCTTGGTGCAGTGATTTCATGGCATTATTACTGAATCAAACCACCCCACTGAAGTTTTTTACAGCTCTATTTTGTACTGATTAATTAGTCTTATAGCCTTGAAGGTTGGTTGGTTGGTTGGTTTGAATGAAAAAAGCTTATACCCTGTTCAGCTGTTATTCCGGACAAAATATTGCAGACATAGTAAGAGAAGCGTGTGCTGCTTTACCCAGTTTTACAATAACGGGGAAAAAACCTTGAAAATATGACTGCACTAGCCATCAGTGCTGCAGTGTCTGAATGATAAAAGGAAATCCCTTTTTATTGTTATAGCTGTAAATCTGTTAATATTAAACTAAGCTTTCTGATTTGGAGAGGGAAGAGAATGCCCCTGACTCATGGTTTTCTAGCACTTAGGTTTAGAAGGCTTGAATAAAAGAAAATTGATATATCAAATATCCACTGCAGTGTTTTTACTAAAGGCTGTTTTCTGTACTTGCCAAGAATAGATTGCAAAGATCTGTCCAGTTCTTCCTAAATTGCAATATATTTTGTGTGTAAGTTCATAAAGTTAACAGAATTTGTGTTATTTCAATACAACCACAACACATATTTGGAGTTCTTTTTAAAAATCCAAAGTTTACATTAGATCATGAAGAGGTATATAGGGTAAATGTATTAATTGAATTGTCATATTCTTCACTATATCCACTAATCAATTTATATATTTTTTGTTTGTGTGTGTGTGTGTGTCTTTCAGGCAGAGAATTCCGCACTGGCTATGGAAAATAAAAATCAGAGAGAGCAGTATGAAAGGTGTCTTGATGAGGTGAGATGGATGGAATGTTTGTCCCATCGTCTTTTGTTAAATATCCCCTTCCCCCTTCCATACCCCAGCTTTCTGGCTTGCTTGTATTTTGGTTTAATTCTCAATTTCATGTTTTCATTATTGTAGAATGCTATATGTCTGAATCAAGTAATTCACATAGTTTCATTTTAGTGATTAGCAAATTTCTTAGGATAAAAAGATTTATTGCAAAGGAGCCATCACATGCAGTTTGACTTTGGCACAGTTTGCTGCATCGTGTTTCTAAATTAACTAAAATTCGTGAACCTTGAATCTCTATGCATCAAGGCCAATGATTCACCTAGGTGACTTGCAGTTTTGCAGTGAATAGAGGAGATTATGATGGCCAGATAAAATGTTCAAATATAGTTTTTCCTTGTGGTGGCCTCAAAACACTTGGAAAAAATAGAGTTCCCCAGAAATTTGACTTTGACAAAGGAGGCTTGGATATTGTTTGTCAGATTAGTGATAAGCAAGTTGCCACAGAGTTTTTTGCCTGATAATGGTGATGATGATGACGATGACAATGGCATTTCAGAAGAATGTAACGAAGAAGCCAATTGAAAAATCAAACTGTCAGTCTTCACACAATAAAATTATGAAACCAAAACAAGGTAATAAAAAGAAAAGAAATAAAATCCAATCAATTTGCAATCACTAAAACAACAAAACTGATTTAGCATGCAATATCATTCCGTATCAAAATTGCTAATTGAAGAATTAAATTAAATAGAACCAATAAGCCATGAACTTTAAGAGTTGTTGTGTTACTTGCATGGCTAAGGATAAAAGTTTGCAGTATTGCCCAGGATAGCTTCTTACATTGCACTGTAGTTGGAAAAGAATATGTTTTTAAATCTGTCTTTGACTGGTTGTCCAAAGACTATAAGGGGAACCAGAGGCCAGGTGCTGGACAACCCTTAGCCATAAAGAAACTAAGAAGGAAGAAGATACAACCAAAATGGTTATGTGACATTATGCATCACCTGAGATAAGAAATAAGAGAGGAAAGATCAGATTCATCTTTTTCAGAATCTCTGGATAGACCCCATTATTATTTTTTTTAAAGGACTAACATTCTAATGTTTAAAAGTTATCCATGGAAACAATTGCTTTCAAATTAGTTAATCTCTGCTATTGCCTGTAAGGTAAATATATTGTGTACTTGAATTAAACTGTAGTGTAAACAACACTTTACTGTATTCGTTTTACTTCAGAGTGAGCTTTATTTATTTATTTATTTATTTATTTATTTATTTATTTATTTAAAGAGTTGATCCCTTTGTCTCTAGGAAATCTAATGCAAAAAAACAAGATTACCATGTTCTGTCCAAGGGCCTGAAGTTTAAATGCTTAAATGCTAGTTTTCTATTCTGGATTTTAGCTGTCAATTTCTTGTCAAGAGGTGATATAATATATATTAATTGTATTATGTACTCAGCAGCATTCTTTCAAGGTAATGTGATGTGTTACATTATAATTTCTTTAAATTAGTATACCAACATTTGAAATTAGCTACAGAAAATAAAGGTGTCTATAATGTTCAGACTGTATTAGAACCAACAGAAATAAGTAATTAATATATATTAAAAATCACATAATAAAAGCATTTTAAAACTATTTTAAAATCACCCCCCCCCTATAAACAGCTTATTAGATGTTCTGGATTATTCTATTTCCAATATACGCTCATATTTAAATTAGGAATCTTCCAATGGTGCTACTTTGCTAGGATGCATTTTAATTAAGAAGCAGATGGTGCTTCAGCTTTCACAAAGGTAAAAATCCTAGATTTCAAGTTAGATCATCATCATTCTGTTTCTGCAGTTCTGTGAGGTTTCTTCTGATCACTATATATTTTTCTTAAAATATTCAATAAAATATGTTTAAAAATAGATTAATGCAATATACAAACATTCTAGAGAACTCTTCATCAGGACAAAGACGTGTGTTAAATTGAATATTGTCTACTATTTTATCATATATATTTAGCTAAAGCAGGTTTAAGCAAACCAGTATCTTTTAAATATTTTGAACTGGAAATCCTATCAGCCATTGCCAGCATGGCTAATGGGTGTTGCTGTCCAAAACATCTGGAGGGCACAAGGTTATAAGAGAGAAAACATTCAAACTAGACTATATATAAGTCCAGCTGTGGTTTTAGCTGAAAAAAATACTGAATGATATCCTCTGTGGATCAGTAGCTATTTGATTTTGCTTAATAATTAAGTATGGGGAATGAAAGCAAATCAAGAGACTTGAAGTTACAGGTAGTCCACACTTAATGACCACAGTAGGGACTGGAAAATTGGTTATTAAGTGGGGCGGTCATTAAGTGAGTCACCACGTGACCAAACCCGATTTTACAACCATTTGTACAATGATCGTAAAGTGAATCACACAGTCATTAAGCAAATCACATGGTCATTAAGTGAATCCAGCTTCCCCAGTGGATTATTTTTGTTGGAATTTGCTTAACAACCACCTGATTTGTTTAACAACCACATGGTTTGCTTAATGCCTTCAATGATTCACTTTACGTCTGTCATATAAAATGTTGCCAATTGCGATCACATGGCCATGGGGGGTGGTATGATGGTTTGCGATGGTCATGTGGAGTACAGGTTGTAAAGCACTTTTCCAAGGCATTGTGACTTTGAACTGTCACTAAATGAATTGTTGTTAAGCAAGGACTACCTATACCTGTGAAATTCTGTGCTCTGGTACACTTCATTTCCCCACTTTAATTCAAGTTTCACTCTTCCACAAGACTTTCTCTTCTTTATTCTCCTAACCTCTATAACAGAAGAGGTCTGCCTTTTTTCCTTTCTAACCTCTTTCATATGCTCAAATGATGGAGCTAAGAAGCATTGTGTAGAATATTACCTATTCTAGTTGTAGATGGACAAGCAATAACTGCTAATATAAGTTAAAGTGTAAACCCATTTCATTTCAATCGTTTATATCAAATCAAAGGAGGAATCTCTTATGTCTTTATCAGATCTCCTATGTTATGGTCAGCTGGCTAAAGATATGAGGATGAGTCAATATAAAATAAAAGTAACTAAGCCTGGAATTCAGGTCCTTGAACAGAATAATATAGGGGCTTGAACAGATTCCAAAAGACCAAACATTTTCTTTGTTACCTCTGTTTTTCTAGCCACTTAATTTGCTTCTTTTAAAACCCTAAGTAGACACCTTTTTGGGCTTCAAGTTTAATTTACCAAACAAATAATCTGCTCTTAAGTACTTTGTTAATTATTGCTAATTTTGTGCTGATGAGATTTTAAATAGCAAGATGGAAACTTGGACTGAATCTTCAGAGTTAATCCTACCACTGAATCCCCACAAATGACATTATATAACTCCTGAAACTAAATAGCTTCATCAGTGATCAAGAGAATGATCAAGCAGCTCAAATTCAGGAAACTAGCATGACAAAAGTAAAAAAATATTGTTTTTATTTAAAGTATTACTTAACAGCCCTATCTTAAGCACATGTTACATAATGTTTTGTGACATTTGTAGTGGTGTATTTGTTAGCATATACTGTCTAATGCTCCATCTTGGTGTTGTCAAGCAACTATTCAGTAATTCTATAAATAAAAATGTCCATATATCATTTTCCCAATATCCACACTATCCTCATTTCAAACACTTGGTTTATTAAAGTTTGTGGAATTGCTAAGTATTTTCTCCCTCTCCTGTCTGATTATATCACTCTTTGTATGCAGCTGTTCCGTGAATATATAGGCACTTTACAGAACTCCCCAAATTTAGAATTTTAATTGTGGTGTTTAAAGTATTTGCTTATCTGTAGATAAAAAAACAATGTAGCTTATTTGTTCCATTTTCAGGTGGAACTGTGTTACAACTAAAAACATGCCAGGAGAAACTACTATTATAAAAAGTCATAGTTATACTCTTGTGGTCTATGACTACAGTTTTAATCTGTGTCTTGTGTTAAATCATACCCATAGCTATTTTATGTGACCTTGCTGTCTGTGTTGCCTTAGGTTAGAGAACAGTTTTGGAAATGATGGGAAGGGAACCAGTCATTTTATGAGAATGTGAATCAGTTCAAGCTTTTGACTTCTACAAAAATAGAAGTATTTAGAAAAAGGTTGAAATCTTGTCTTATGTTCTAATTCACATGAAACAATTTTTTCAAAATGAAATTAGTGAAAGGGACATCTCATTTCTAAATAATAGTTTATATATTCAAAATAATAAAATTATATATAAATTAGGGTGTCAGAAAATAAAGTGTTTGTATTAGTATATCACTCATTAGAACATTATTAATCACATAATAAAAATATCTGATATACTTCTTTATCTGCCTTGGAATTTTAGATTTAATGAAGAATGGGAAACTATTTTTATATATAAATAAAATGAAAGTATAGAGAATGCTCCTAGGAGGTTTTACTTAATTCTATACATGGTTCTATATGTAAATCAAAGTTTTGTCATTTGATTTAAGTCAATATACAAAGTATTGGTAAAATTCTACTCTGGTTGAGCTGTCGATATTTTAATTTTCTGGAGCATGCAATGCCACCTAGCTGTCATGAACAGATGGTCTGTTTTTTTCAGTACAGTACACTCAGGGCTGCTTTTTCTGTTTGGAAGGGGAAAATGTTGTTTTCTTCCTCTAAAGCAGTTGACTGACATATGGTTTGGCTCCTAGTCTGAATTGGTTCTACCCCTTTCACTCTACAGGGTGAAAAATGTTATGTTGAGGGGTCATTAAAAAAGTCACCAAGTTTTGAAATGAAAAAAATTAAGTAGAGTCTTAGTTTCTATGGAAGTTAAGAGAGTTTTTTTTTCTAATTATGCAAAGTAGTTCTCAGCTGTGATTTATCTCTTCTATAGGTAGCCAACCAGGTTGTACAAGCGCTGCTTACTCAGAAGGTAAGTCATTTATTTCTTTATGGTGTCAAAAAATACTTAACTAAAATTATCAAGCTTTTTTGTCCAGTAAAATAAGCATTATGATACATTGCATTGAATCACTGGGAATCACATGGATTATCCTTCTGAGGCCGTTGAATAAAGATTAAGAATGTATTTTAACCAACACAAAGCAATGACTTCCTGCTGATAAAAACCTGCCAAGTGTGCAGAATGCTGTTAGCAATTGAGAAGGCTTTAGTAACTTAAAGGGTAATTTCAAGTTGATCTACACCTGAAATCACATCCATATTTGGGAGTAAGTATATTAAATAAAAATAAATTTACCACTGACAATGTGTAAGATTAGAATACGACCCCATTATTTATATACTTGGTCAGCCATTATTACTATGTTATTCTTTCAGATTTAGAACAACTGGAAACTCTTTACTTATGTTCATTTATACTTAGGGCTACTCACAGCCAAATTGCTACACATGTAAGGAGACATGCAGCTGTTTTTAGTTTTCCTGAAATGCACCTTGGAGACAGCCAATTTGTTTGGAATTGCTGTGTGATGTTAATTGAATTTTATCACCTTCCCCCCAACTTGTATGTGTCGTGTTTTTATTTATATATGTTAGTTATTATTCACGTATAATATTAAGCTCATTTTTCTATAGGAAGATATGCTCTAGGGCAGTGTTTTTCATACTTGGGAACTTTAAGATATGTTGACTTCAGCTCCCAGAATTGCTGCCTGGGGGATTCTGGGAGTTGAAGTCCACACATCTTAAAGTTGCCAAGTTAAAAAACGCTGCTCTAAGGTTAAAAATCAAAGTAAAATAGTGGTGGCACAAACAACCTAAAACTACATTTACAATATAGGTTTAGCTCTTTTTCCTTGGAACAGTAGGACTTTCTCCTTTTCTTTGCCTGCCAAAACTTTTATCCACCTTTACCTAAAGCTTCTTGCCACCCACAAAGCTGAGCTTATTTTTCTAGAAGAGAACTTCGCTATTTCCACAGCCAGAAACGAGACATTTGCCTCATTTGTTTCTCACTTTCTTTCTGCCTTTTTATTCCCTCTTCTCATTTTTTGCCTTTTTTCTTTCCTATTTTGTCAGCCATGTTACCTTTTGCTGTGCTTCCTCTCTCCCCTTCCCTTCCCTTCCCTTCCCTTCCCTTCCCTTCCCTTCCCTTCCCTTCCCTTCCCTTCCCTTCCCTTCCCTTCCCTTCCCTTCCCTTCCCTTCCCTTCCCTTCCCTTCCCTTCCCTTCCCTTCCCTTCCCTTCCCTTCCCTTCCCTTCCCTTCCCTTCCCTTCCCTCCAGCTTTGCAAGCTATAGCCTTAATTCTGCTGCCATGTGAATCTATGTGCTACATTATTTTGGAGCTCCTGTTACTGTATTGGCATAATCAAAAGGTTGCAGAGAGAGTGGGGGTTTGGCAAGGAGACCCTGGGCAGGCGGTGGCACTGCGGTATACCTGAAACAGTGCCCAGTGATGGTTTCTTGGCCCACTCCTTGAAAAAGAGTGATGTATTTTTCTTCTGTATCGTATTTGTCTCTTGCTTGCCTTTCAGGGAGGCTGGGGCAATTTAATAGTTTGCATTCAGAACAGGTGATGCAAACCTAGGTATTCCCTAACTACTCAACTACATGGCAGCACACAGCCAACCTCAGGAAGCTAAGCAAGGTTAGACTTAATTAGTACTTAGATGGAAGATTGTCAGGCAATCCCAGGTTTACAAGCAAGACTGGAAAAAAAACCCTAGCAGAAGGCCAAGGGCGAACGACTTCTGTACCCTTGCCAAGAAAACTACATGGATGTATCTATGTAGCCACCATGAGTTCAGCTTCAGTTGTAGGATATTTCATCTTTACTGTCTTTAACTACAGTTTGCCAGTAACCAACCCAGTTATAATGGAGTTAATTCACCATAAGCATTCAAGAGGATACGGGGCTTTGAGTGACAGGTTTTACACAACTCTCACAATTATTACTTAGGGAAAGAGTTAGGTGTTGCTTGATCTGTTCTCCATGGAGTACTGTATGTAAATTTGGCTAGCCAATTGTTGTAATGCTACATCCAGTGTAGTGCTGGGTAGTGGCAGGAAATCAGTAACCATGCTGTAGTGTTTTAATTCCATGATATCTATGAAACATTAAGGAAAGAAATGATCCAGTTCCAGAAACAAATCAGAAATATATTCCATTTGTGATGGCTAAACAAGCCTGAATTCAAGGGCTTGCAAGAATCGGATTAGCATTGTACAGCATAGGAACCCTTCTCTGAGGGTATATTTGCAATTGTGTTGGTCCCAATATAGTATTATCTTACTTTAAAACATTCTTTCTTTTTCAAAAGAAGCAAAGAAACCAAAACAAAAAACAGTGAGGTGAAGGGAGAGAATGTTCTTGTATTTGTAGCACTTTAGGGTTAAGGTTTTTTTCCCACAACTGCTCCTTTTGACATTATCAGAAGATGCAAAAGCCACAAGTTCTAGGGACTCCTTGTGAGTGGACCAAGAATATAGATTAAAATGTATTTAATAGAGTGATTTGCTTGATATTGACAAAATTTGACAGATGCACAGCCTTTGCTAAGTAACACTAGCTAATTTAATATCCTGAAGGGGAAACACAAAGCATTCTAAATGTTAATGAATGTTAACTCTTACAGCCCTTTTAATGCTATCTGGACTGAAAGCATTTATAAAAAAGGACAAGAAGGCAATACTGTACAGTAAATAGGAAATTAGGCTTTGAGGGTCAATCACAAATGGCTTCTATACGAATCCAAGTAATAACTGGTAAACAGATAAGTCTTCTACTACATTACACTAAGACAGAACCGGTCATGTCACCAAGAGATGATACCCCAGAGGGACTTTGTAAAATAACAGAAGGAATCTGAAGAACTCCTAACAAGAATAATACCATGCAGGAATACTAACCATGCATATTATACTGTGAAATTTCAGTGGTCCTCTTGGTGGTGTTTTTGTTATTTAAATTAAGCACATCTTATAATAGTTTAAGGAATGAAGTACAAATAGCCCAAAATTATATCAAATGATTGTGATTCCGCCAGGAGATCATATCAACCGAGGAAGCAAAACCTTGAGAGATTTATCAATGTCACTGAACTCTTGACATCAAATTTGTAGTTTGAAATGGGCAGTTTGGATAAGATTGTTCTTTGTAAGACATGGAATTCCTTCAGTGAGCCCAATTTTGAGCAGGAAATATGAAGAAAAATATATTCCATTGTGAAGAAAGAAGGCATCTGTACAGTAGATAGGACATCAGGCTTTGAGGGTCTTGTTATTAGTATTGTATTGTTATTATGGGGTTTGCTCCCATTGTCTCCATAGATTACAGTTTTGGTTCAGAGGTACATAAAAACTGAAGGAAGAATAACAGTCTTACAAACAGTCATACACTTGCAAGCAAAATATTCCATGTTTTGGAGCCTATGTGGTGTAGTGGTTCAGGTGTTGGACTAGGAATGGGCAGACCTAGGTACTAGTCCATCTTTAACAGCAGAAGTTCCCTGGGTGACTTTGGGCCCAAGATTTTCTCTCAGTTGAACCTACCCTATGGGGTTGTTATGGAGGAGGAGCGCTGTGTTTGCTGCTTTTGAACTCCTGTACCAAAATACGGGTAATCAACCCATCAGTGTCTTCTGGTATGCTTTAAGATATCTAGACTTCTAATTTGACATAGTTCAAATAGTAACTGGGAAATTCAAGAGTTTCTTTAGCAGGAGCCCTGCTGGAGAACAAAATGGAGGTATCTTTCTGGATGGCAAAAATGGGAATGAATAGTGTACCTGTGTCATTTGCTGGATCATATTGTGCAGATTGGCCAACTGTGGCATCTGTGTGTGTGAGTGTGTGAAAGAATCAAGAATGGCTGTACATTTGCCTGATATAGTGATAGGCTAGATGGGGCCAGTAAACTGAAACCAAATCTTGATAAGTTGGAAGTAATATGTCTAGTTGGTTCTCAGTTTGGGAATAAGAGAGATGAACAGTTCAGGGTAAGACTCTGTTCCCTTTGTAGGAGCAGCCATGTAGACTGGGAGTTTGCTCTGTTTCAAAGCAGGTGCTAAAATCACAGATAGCTTTAGTGACAAGGAAAGTCCATGCTCAACTCTGGCTGGCCAACAGGTACAACTTTTTCTGGATTGTGATAACAAATATATAAATCCAAATAATCTCAAGCCTTGGTTACTAAAATTCACTCTACATGGAGCTTCTTTTGAAGATAGACTGGAATACATAGAATTTAGTTCCTAATTTGCAAGTGGGATCATGTAAGACTAATTCTGCACTGGACTGGAGCTCAACTCTGTTGGTATTAGCATATAAAAGCTGTACATGACCCAAAAATTTTAAAATGTGCCTCCCTGGTATCAATCAGATCATGCTTTGGGATCAGCCAGTGCTTATGATCCACCTGTGAGTATGTCCCCTAATAGAGTCATCTCAGTGATGGACCCTCAATTATGTAATTTATTCAGGATTCAGTGTTGCAGTTAGAAACCAGGTATCTCTAACTGGGAGAATATTCTGAAGAAGAAACAGTTTCTTCTTGGTAGTAAGGTTGTAATAATATGATTATTGTATAAAACACTTTTAATATCTGTTTGTTTTAATGTACTGTTTTACAAATGCTTGCGTGATCTTTTTGTGAACCACTGTAGTTCTCAAACACTGTTCAATAATTGGAACATCTAGCCATTCACATTTTAATCTTTAACTTTAAATCTAGGATCAGGTAATGTCAACATCTAGGTTTTGAAATGAATGATAGATACATAGGTGGTGCTGCTTGGTTTAAGTTTGTCTAAATTCCCAGATCTCATAAAGCATTTATTCTTTTGAAGTCTGTGGTTTTCTATCTTAATTGAAGCCTCTAGCTCCTCCATATCTTGATTATTTGTTAGAAACTTGTAAGAAGTGGCATTAGTGCTTTTGCTTGTTTAAACAGAATATCTAGAATAGTTCTCTATGTGAGGCCTGAGATGATATTACCAGGCAACTATTTGCTGAATTAAAGGATTCAGAATTGTGTTGCACTTCAAATAAAGTATCATTGCCTCCTTGTCACTTTAGTAGGCAGAGAATATATAACTTGGTTAGCCTTAGGGGTATTTTAAATAAGCACTGCCCTCATAATGCACTCAGGCAAAATGATTTCTTAGTTCATTCAGTGTTAACTTTGAATTAAAGCTAAGCTACGTTTTTTCCAGCTATCTCTTAACAGGAGTGTTCCATTGTGTTATCCCTTTTTTCTTTTCATCATGCTGGCTTTGACACAGCGCAAGGGAAGACAAACACTCAGGTTATTTCAGACTATTCCACATTCTAATCTGTAGCCTCAGCTGGTTTATGTGCTTCTATATCTTGGTAATGTTGTTAATGAACACACACAGAGGGAGCTAAAACTTGTTCTTTTCCTTTATGCCTGCTTCAAAAGATAAACTATAGGAAGATAGGCGATGTGGCTGTTCTCATTTTTATGACATTTCTATACCATATACTGTATACAGTAACAACCTACAGAAATTTATTTATCTCTTTGTCATTGTTGCTGATGTCATTTTGCTGAGTCAGCACAACAGTTTAAGAATTTCTATATAAGCTAAGTGGTAACACCCAGGGATCTTAGTTGATATTTTAAAAAGTAGCAAGTTTGCATCTGGTTGGCATTTGGATAGGAGACCACCTGTAAATCCCAGGATTGTGGAATAGCGTGGGAAGTCAAAAATATCCCCAAAGAAAGCAATAACAAGCCATTTCTGTACTGATGGTAAGAAAATTCTATCCATGTAGTCACCAAATAGTAAGCTGAATTCAGGGGAGTCTTTATGTAAGTCTGCTGAGGCTTGTTACATCTCTACTCTCCAGAAAAATCTATCTTATGAACAGTTCACTGTGGCTTTCATTGTTCTTCTGAAAAGGTGACACAGTATTCCCAGGCTTGTGTTTACAATCTCTCTCTCTGTCTCTCTCTCTCTCTCGTACACAAATACACAGCGTTTTATACATACAAATGCACACATTTTTCCTTTCATTCCTCCCATTTAGCTGAATCCTTTTCTTGTACACTATTATTTACATGCTTGTACAAAACTTTGTTAGCTACCATATCTATGGCCAAAAAGTTAAGTCTTAGAGTTATAATGCATGCAAATGGAACAGAACCAAGAACCCATCAAAAGAGTTTAACTTCTATGGCTAATCCATTGTTCACGTCAGGTACTCTATTGAATCCGGGACAGAGGACCCATGATTGTGTTGGCTCTCCAGATTTTTTTTGCTAATGTTCCAAATGATTATCAAAATATGTTAATCATTTGAACATTTGAAACTCCTTTGTTTTCATAGGTGCAACATTCAGAGAAAATATATAGTTGTCTATATTTTCACATGTGAGCATTATATGAATGTCTTTGGGCTGTGATTTCTATATACTTCTATAACTGAAAAAAAATTGAGAGGTATAAAAGGCTGACAGATACTAGCATATAAAAATATTAGCATTGGAAACTCTTCACGTTGAGCTCAGCTCTTGTTGTCTTCATGATCATCCATGCATTTTTCTTATTGAAAGTATGGAAGAAGTTGACCACTATTGTCTTCTGGAATTCCCCCCCCCCCCCACTTCCCAATCTAGAAGTTCCTAGTAGTTTCCCACCTAGTAATAGCAAGGTCCAAATCTGCTTAGTTTTTTGAGATCAGCTATACTTTACTATTGCTGTCACCCTGCTGGGCTATTCAGTGTATATAGAAGTACATTTTTATTTATACCACTGTCAAATGCATAAGCTTTATACATCTGCATACCCACTTTGGTCCTTGAATAAATTTGATCCAGTTTCAGGAGGTCTTTTTTAGTTATATTTATGAGGCAGTAAAATGTGCTTTCTATTCTTCTCAAAAAGAGAAACAGTGAACCTCTGACTCAGTTCAAAGAGTTCAAAAAGGGATAGTTTGAAGAATAACTAATGAGCTATGTGGCTCCAAATGTCCCATTTCCCTTACTTGCTTTTGAGTCTTCCTTTTTTTGTGCTAAATAACCAGTTATTTGTGTCTTATTTACAGTTATAGTTATTGATATTTGTTAGAAAATGCTACTGTGATTTCAACAAAATCCCTCATCCCACCCCCTCCAAAATGCAGGTTTCCCAGATATAAGAACCTAATGTCCATGGGAGACATGAATTGTTCCCATGGGCTATGTATTATACTGTATCAAAATACACTGACCTGCCCCTAGTCCCTCCCCCAAGGCCCCAACAACCCCCAACCCAGACCTCTCAGTACCCAGCACAGGGGATCCCCACATCTCACCACCAAATATATACATCCAAGGGGGAAGAAATCTGAGTCACCAGGTGCTTTAGCACTTGCTCTCAGCACTAAGGAAACACAACCGCCCTTTATAACCCAACCATCAACCACTCCCACACCAGCTGCTCTCACCTGGCTAGCTAGGAGTCACCATCCATGCCAGCCACTACTTCGCCCCCCCCCCCAGCTTTCACCCTGAGGGGGAAATCCCTTACACAGGGAGGGCCCCCCACTATCCACAACGCCACCTCTGCCAACAGCCCCCAGGCCATCCAGACAGCAAAGTCCAACTAATCGAAATGGATACCACGCTGTCTTTTCTTATGCACCGGGTGACGAGAAGACAAAATGGCTCCCCCACCCACTTCTAAAAAAAAAAAAAGAAGAAAAATTGATTAAGGGACTTGCTTGTATTTCTCACCAAAAACTGGGGTTTTTTTGATTGTAATTTTTC